TCTTTTTTCCAGAACTGTGCAGCAGACTCTTAATACAGAAAAAAAACATGGTCTATTTATTTTAGTAAGATCTTTTTTTAGGAAATTTGTCACCTCTTTAGCAAAGAAGGGGATAAAATTCCCATACAAGAGAACAAGTGATATCTGAATGGAATTTACTACCCACTGAAACCAGCTGGTTGCTTAGCAAAGAGCAGAGCGTCGCTAAGAGCTCATTTAGACTTTTGGTTGGGGAGTGTTACAAATGCGCAGTTGAGCAGTGTTTTTAGGACCCCCCAACCACCCCCCTTAAGCTGCAATAGCAGGGAACGGGGGTGTTTACATGCTGCAATCACGATGCTTAAGAGGTGTAATATTGACTCCGCACCATCTGTCAAACACCTCTTTTCTCTTATTATGCTTTACAAGAGGTTAAAAATTGTTAAAAGGTTGATTACAAAAACCTGTAATGTGCAAAACTGTTAATACAGCATGATGGCCAGGCAACTAACATTTTCAGAGATTCAGTAAATGAAGCCTGAATATTTACTCAGCACATGTTTTATTCAACAATCTCTTGTAAAGCATACTAAGATAAATATGAACAATGCATTAAAAGTAACATTTGAATGTAATATTCTAAATTAATCTATATATTTCCTGTCCTCAGTCTGACTGCCAGGATTATTCAACCCCACTTTCTCTGGACCCACTCTAGCTTGTTACTAGACAGTGAAAGGAGCTAATCTCTTTGTCATTCTTCTGTTTTCTCCTCTTATCACTATTCTTCTTGCCAGCACTTGAAAAAATGGGCTCCTTGTGCTGCTTCTTCCTCTGACATTCAAGCCCTGCTGTACAGGGACTGCAAGATGCTAAATCAGATCAAGTTCAGGTACTTATACTCTTTGTATTAATTATTAAAGAGTTACATCCATTTTTGTCTTTTATGTCTGCATAGAGATGTGCTATAAGGACATTGATGATGATGATGATTATTAATATTATTATTATTCAGGATTTTTATAGCACCAACAGTTTATGCATCGCTTTACAACATGAGGGCAGACAGTAGAGTTACATTACAATTCAACACAGTGGGAATTGGAAGGCCCTGCTCATTAGAGCATACAATCTAGGAAGGAGGGCCAAGAGCTACAAAAGGTAATAACTGTGTGGGATGAGCTGATGGAGAAAATAAAAGTACAGTTTTTAGGTGGGGATAGGATAAGCCTCTCTGAAGAGAGGGATTTTCAGGGATTATTTAAAACTAGACAGAGCAGAACATAGTGGAACAGATTGGGGTAGGGAGTTCTATAGGATGGGAGAGGCTCATGAGAAGTCCTGGAGGTGAGCATGGTAGGAGGTGAGAAAGGAGCTAGAGAGCAGGAGGTCTTGGGAGGAGCAAATATATACAAAAAAAATATACATTGTAGAGATAATTAATATTTATTTACAGTTTCATTTAGACTAAACAAGCTGAGCTTAGCATCACCATGTATGTAAAGTGCTGTGTGAAGTAGTATTAAATATTTTTTACAGGAATCTAATCAAGACCTTTAGAAAAACCTAAACACTATTATTTTTTTCCAAATTGAATCCGCATTTACTAACATTTAAAATATGTAACATGCTTTTGGTTCTGTATCTGTCAGTGCAACCTCCCCAAACTTCAGGTGATGGAGCACACACTGTACGCATCACATTCTTGTCACTTGACCGCCATGACAGGATTACAATTCTACAATACATATCTTGGGAGCTATTGTTAATAAAATTGAAGAGGATGGATGGGGAGCTGGTTTGCATCCCTGGGCTTCAGAGCTGCCTGTGCAGATGCCTGTTATTCTGAGCCTTGAATAGGGAGTTTTCTTGTAAAGAAGGCTATTATGAGGCTCCATAGGACCCTACAATGGAGCATAGCCACCCAAAAGATGAACTCTTAGGACAGTCTATTTTCAAAGGGTGAATACAAAGCTTAAAAAGAAAGGCACACAAAAGATGTTGCAAGTGTTGATATATGCTGCAATATGTTTTTTTTTCTTGTAGGTTTTAATATCACTTTAAATATTGTCTTGACCACGCTCATATAACCCCTGTGTTTGCTGTGAGTGATTAAGGATAAGTGAGAGCTTTTCAATGCCGTTGTTAGAACAAATCAAGTGGCATAAGATGTATGAGCAGCAATTTTGCACATCTTAATGTGTCAGAGAGAAACATTTTAAATACATAAAACATTAACAAACTTTAATAATAGATTTTTAAAAGGCCATTTGCCAGTGGGAAGCAGAAATCATGACAGATTTTGCCTGTCAAGTAGCAATTTTTCCAAAGGTCTACAGCAAATGTGACACTGCATTAATACACACAGACATTAACATGAAACTAACACTCAGCCTCTGCTGCTAAACAGATTTACACTCTGTTTTTCAGAGGAAACGTACAGAACTGCATTTTGTTCCCCAGATGTTCGATAGAGAATTGTACTTTTATATCTTGCCGCCATAAAGATTAATTTTTCCCAGCCAGCAGCTACAAAAGCGTATTAATAAATTTTTGAAGTACACTGATACACACTTGGCCTGACCTTACTTTGCCTCCTGATCAGACTTTTTTGTTTGAGTAGATTTTCCCAAACTGGACATCTGCTCTTAAAAATGTATAGCAATCCAGTGACATATATAAAAAAGAATGTGTGACTCTTTTTGAAAATCAGTGTTGCTGATTGTGAGCTCTATAGCTAAGACTTGTCGAAGCCAGGTCAAATATAAGACATGTTACAGTTCCTATGGGCAAAACAATCCTGCACTAGAGATTTTATACTGTAGGTATCCATTCAGGGGCGAACTGACAACTCATGGGGCCCCCGGGCAATAGGGGATCATGGGGCCCCTGTGTCCTTGCCCAAACTCAAAAAAGCCTATGAAAAAGGTACCAGGGGCATCTCATGGGGCCCCCTACTGACCCCGGGCCCACGGGCAGTGCCCGAGTTTACAAATGGTCAGTCCGTCCCTGTATCCATTAAACATTCACTACCTTATTGTTTAACATTTCCTATGTTGTGATTGTTGTGTTTGTGTTTAAAAATGCTTTCATTTGTTTTTGATTTTTTTAAAGGTTAACTGCTTGTGCATAGAACATATGATTGCTTGAGAGTTGTATTGTATGTGACAGAAATAATCTTTAGAGGTAAACTCTGAAAGTGCCACAACTGGACAGCCTGGAAACATTCAGCTTGTTTTCCATTTAAGGCCTCACTGTTTTCCATTTAAGGCCTTCTATACATGTGAGGTTTTAGCCCCGATGCATGAGGCCCTGGGTTTAGTCTCAGCTGAAGGGCATAAGCGCAACATCTATTCCCACAGCCAGCAGCCTGTACAGGTGTTGCAGCTGGAAGGGGCTGTGTGGTGCACTCAGCAGTACCTTCGTTTAGGAAACTATGCACTCAAGGATGAATGCCTGGAATGCAAATAGTCTACATTTCGGGCATTATTCCCTGGGCTCTGGCTGCCCTAAACTGAAGTACTGCTGAGATCACTATTAATTTCCGATACAGCTGCAGCAGCAGTTAGACTCATAGATATTAAACTTCTAACAGCAGGGCTGGATGTTAGGCTAACCTCAGATCCTCTTGCACTGGGGATAAATGTCCCAAGTGCACGAGGCCTCAATTGTAGTTTTACTGCAAAGTAAAGTTTTCAGCGCTATAAGATATCAAGCATAATAATTAAATAAAACGTTTTGTACATGTGTTTTTTTTGGGACAATGTGTATACTGTGTATACTGTATATACTCAGTTACCTCTTTATCAGATAAAACTGTTTAGAAAATCAAACATCAATCTAAAGTGCAGATATGGTTAAGAGGTTTGATTTTTGGTTGATCAAACATTAGGGTGGAAAAGATGTGCGATGTAAACTACTCTGTCTGTTCAGTGATTGTTGGTGGCAGATGTTTGCTACAGCATCTTGGAAACAAAAGAAAATGGTGCAAAAATAATAGCTGGCAGAATTTAGTATTTCTATGTTTGTCACCTTGTTAGGCTCTATGTACACGAACCTACCCTGACCGGGAAAATGCAAATTGCGACAAAACGCGGCAAAACACAGAAACTGCAGTACTGCAATATTGCCGTGGTTTTGCCGTGGTTTGCGGTTTTTTCCACGGTCGGCGGTGAAAATGTTCCTATCCTGAAAGCGATTCTTCTGCGTTCAGAAGAGGGAGGTTTAATCTCACCTAAAAGCAGCAGTTCCTAAACCCTGCTAAAGGCCTATGCGTACATGGACACATAGGCTTTTATGGAGTTGAGTTTAGGAACTTTGGCAAAAAAATGCCAAAAGCTCCTAAACTCGAGTTTAGGAGCTGCTTGTGTACATGGGGTCTAAGTGTTAAGAACTATTAGGAAGTCTAATTGCTCAAATAAATTCTTTTTGGCCCCTTTACCACGGGCATTCCGCATGTCCATTTTTCATCTGTCCATTTACAGATGAAAAACAGAAACCCATGTATTTCTATGGACTAGCGGATGTAAACGGATGATCATCTGTTTACATCCATTAATCATTTGCCCTCCAGAAGGTTTACCCCCCTTCTTGACCAAGACATTTTTTGCGTTACAATGCTGCGGTATTTTAACTGACAATTGCGCGGTCATTCAACACTGCACCCAAATTAAATTTATGTCCTTTTTTCCCACAAATAGAGCTTTCTTTTGGTGGTATTTGATCACCTGTGCGTTTTTTATTTTTTGAGCTATAAACAAAAAGGCCGACAATTTTGAGAAAAAAACAATATTTTTTACTTTTTGCTATTAAATATGTCCAGTAAAAAATGTAAAAAAATCTAATTTCTTCATAAATTTAGGATAAAATGTATTCTGCTACATGTCTTTGCTAAAAAAAATCCCAATATATGTAAATTGGTTTAAGTAAAAGTTATAGGGTTTAAAAATGGCGGTATATATACTGGGATCTGTTTTCTTTTTGCTAGTAATGGCGGCGGTCAGCGACTTATAGCGGGACTACAGGACTGCAACAGGCATTCTGACACTGGGGAGAACAGACTTGGTGTCACTGACAACCCCAGTGACACAAATACAGTGATCAGTGCTAATAAAAAGCACTGACACTGTACTATTGGCACTGGGCAGGAAGGGGTTAACATGTGGGGCAATCAAAGGGCTAACTGTGTGCTGTGTGCTGTTTAGCATATTGGGTTGTGTTTGTGCTTCACTGTAGGCACACTGCTTTGCATGACTGTGCTTTGCACAGCCATGCAAAGCAGTGTGCAGGGGCTGAAAGAGAAGAGAACTGTTTTGTTTACAAACAATTCTCCCCCTGTCGGAGATGCTCAGCAATCCCCGGGCGCCGGTGAGTAATCACCCACCGGGACCCAGTGATTGACAGCAGAGGGTAGGGCGAGTTGCACGCCCCCCCACCTGGAAATGCAAAATCACATATCTATACGTGATTTTGTGCAACCGTGCCACTCTGTAGCAGTACTTCTTAATGTCCTCATCCATTAACATGAATGGAAGAAAACCCTATTTTTCTTTCATTAAAAAAAACTGAATTGACAAAAAAAGGATGTAAATGGACAAAAAAAAGGATGTAAACGGATGAAAAACATATATAAACGGACAAAAACAGATGTAAATGTACGAAAACGGGTGTAAAAAATGAAAGACGGCTGTAAACTAATGAAAAACTGATGTGAACTGATGAAAAACTGATGTAAACTGATTAAAAACGAATGTGAACTGATCAGTTTTTTCTTGGAAAAAATGGGACTGAACTGATGGAAAAAACGGAACGCTCGTGTGAAAGGGGCCTTTGTGACAGTGACATACAGAAGTGCATACATTAATATACAACACATTGAACTTGATGGGAAATGCAGCACTACAGTTGTATTACCTACAGCAGCAGAAGACTCTGCTGGGTACCACTCCTGAAGATGACTGAAGATCAGAAAAAATATTGCCTGGTTTGACAAATGTTGATTTCTGCTGTTATATGCAGATAGTAAGGTCAATATTTGATGTATGGTATGGGAGGGAGGTTGGGTATGAGTAATGTGTTTATACAGTATGGGGGGAGATTTACTAAAACTGAAGTTTTTGAATCTGATGCAGTTGTGCGTGGTAGCCAGACAGCTTCTAACTTTCATTTGTTAAATTAAGCTTTGACAATAAAACCTGGAAGCTGATTGGTTTCTGTTCAGAGCTGCACCATATTTTGCACTCTCCAATTTTAGTAAATCTTCCCCTACATTTAAATTTGACAGTTTAAATAAAAGAGGTTTTTTTTTTTTTGCGCAGGTGAAAGCTGCTTGGGAGCTATGGACCCCCAGCTCTGAACCATGCTGTCTGAGACAAGGGGTATCTAAGAAAACTCCCCTGAGTGGTAAGACCCGTATCTTTGGACTGTGGAACTATGAATTCTTAATTGCACTGAAGAAAATGATTTATGTTAACATTCTGAAAATACAATCAGCTTTTTATGTTAGTATGTTGAGTAATAAACAATGTTGTTACCAATTAACAGTATATTATTGTTGCAGACAATTTTTTTTAGCAATTTCTATGTTTGCTTGTAAAAATAGTTTTGAATCTTCACTTGGCAATGGAATACTATATGAATGCATGAATCCTGCAGCACAAACATGTTTTCTGAAGAACTTTGAGGGTTAAATCTTGGTCCTAGCTGCCAGTCACCCACTTAGATATTAAGGTTGATAGATGGAAAACAAAACATAGTGCATCCAGTTACTTTTTCTCATTTCCATCATGCTGGGGAATTTTCTTTTATTTATCGACAATTAGGTTTACCGGACCCTAGCCACACACCTAATTCTCCATCTAACTGCAAGCTGTCAGCTTTATAATGAAGTGATTGACAAGGGATGGCATTTGTTACACTGTTATTCCAGAGAAAGCCTATACAAGCCTAAGACAAAAGCATTTACTTTCAGCATTGCCTTTTCTATTTTACCCGAACAAATGTTCATCAGGTTTAGCAGTCATGACAACCAGGCTCACTTTAATATTTATTTAAAAAAATCATATAAATCTAGGGACTGAACTAAAAATACGGAATTATGACCTTTACCACTCCAACACAAATTAAAAAAGTCAGGAATTTTGTTTTGCCTTTGAAAATAATTTTTTTCTTTGTCTTTGGATATATTTCCATATTTATCTTACTGTATGTTCTAGAAACAAACATTTCATATAGATAACTGCACAGTACAGTATATAATTATTACATTAACATTTCCCTTCTGAGAAATGATAGGCTATAGAATTCAGTGATACACTTTAAAAGCCTGTAACTTATCACTGCAAGCATCCATACCTTGCTATGTCACAGAACACTTGTAAACCATTTTCAGAAGCATTTTTCACTTCCATCAGCAATTTTATTTTAAATACACACTTATTCTAACATTTTTCCTATCACTTTTTATGTGAAAAGAGCCAATAGATGAAGATGATCCACAGGGAAAAACAGGACTACACCAAAATCAATATTTCTTTATGTATGGGTGTATTTCCTGTACACATAGGACTTGAATAAGGCAGATTCTCCAAAGACGTCAAATAAAAAAGTGCTTGAAACAGCAAGAAATGTGACAGGAGAGAGACAAGAGAAACATCAACTATCATAACCTTAAAAGAAAAGTGACTTGCCCACCCTCATGTTCTCATATTTTTTTTAAAAAAAAATAAAAGCATGAAGAAAAACCTGTGTTTTTCAAAGACTTGCCACAGGAACATTCATCTACTTATACTGTATAATACAAAACCGATGGGCATTTACATGTGTGGTAAATTCAGCACAAACAAATTCATAAGCCTATTTTCTTTTCAATTTATGAATAAATATAAACAGATTGTCTCAATATGGAGTCTTTCATGTATTAACAAATGTTCACATTACAAATTTAAGCTAAAAAAATGCTAATTAATATGGATTTTGAAGTGCATAATGTGCATGCTGATTAATGGTAAATTAGAATTAAAAGTGAATATTTAATACACACAATATGCTCACCATTTTTCAGTTTCTCATTATGCTTGGGATAATATTTTGATTTATGCAAATAATGTAAACCTTATGACTATTTTGGAAAATAAATAGCAGGTACTGTCTACATGGAAAATAACAGCAAAAAAGGAAACAGCTCCACTTATAAAAGTGCCTGAAAGAAGAAATCTCTGTTTCTGGAGCAGGCATTTAAATTCTAACTATAATTTTTCAAGTATATCGGTACTTGTGTAGTTCTCTTTTACCATTATCAACGTGCACTCATCGGTCACTTTATTAGGTACACCTTGCTAGTACCAGGATGGACCCCCTTTTGCCTTCAGAGCTGCCTTAATTCTTCATGACATAGATTCAACAAGGTGTTGGAAACATTCCTCAGAGATTTTTGGCCATATTGACATGAGTTACTGTTGCCTTACTATCATCTTGAACCAGTCTGCCCATTCTCCTCTGTCCTCTGACATCAACAAGGCATTTTTGTCCACACGCCTACTGGATATTTTCTCTTTTTTGGACCATTCTCTGTAAACCCTAGAGATGGTTGTGCATGAAAATATCAATAGATCAGCAGTTTTTAAAATACTCAGACAAGCCTGTCTGGCACCAACAACCATGTCATGTTCAAAGTCACCTAAATTCCCTTTCTTCCCCATTCTGATGCTCGGTTTGAACTTCAGAGAGTCGTATTCACCATGTCTAGATGCCTAAATGCATGAAGTTTCTGCTGTGTGATTAGCAATTTGTGTTACCAAGCAATTGAACAAGTGTACCTAATAAAGTGGCCAATGAGTGTATATTTAAATAGTTACATGTTTACTTTGACATATACATGTAGTACATATGCATATCATATGTAAATGCCTTAAAGTAAAGCCTTCCTTTGACCATTTACGTAATGTAAATGTTTCACTTAGCTTCCTCTCTAACTAGCAGTATATACAGGTGAAACTTGAAAAATTAGAATATAGTGCAAAAGTTCATTTATTTCAGTAACGCAACTTAAAAGATGAAACTAATATATGAGGTAGACTCATTACATGCAAAGCAAGATAGTTCAAGCCGCGATTTGTCATAATTGTGATGATTATGGTTTACAGCTCATGAAAACCCCAAATCCACAATCTCAGAAAATTTGAATATTACATGCAATCAATAAAACAAGGATTGTACATAGAACAATATCGGACCTCTGAAAAGTATAAACATGCATATGCACTCAGTACTTGGTTTGGGCCCCTTTTGCAGCAATTACTGCCTCAATGCGGCGTGGCATGGAAGCTATCAGCCTGTGGCACTGCTGAGGTGTTATGGAAGAACAGGATGCTTCAATAGCGGCCTTCAGCTCTTCTGCATTGTTCGGTCTCATGTCTCTCATCTTTCTCTTGGCATTCTCTATGGGATTCTCTATGGGGTTAAGGTCAGGTGAGTTTGCTGGCCAATCAAGCACAGTAACCCCACGGTCGTTGAACCAGGTTTTGGTGCTTTTGGCAGTGTGGGCAGGTGCCAAGACCTGCTGGAAAATGAAGTCAGCATCCCCATAAAGCTCATCTGCAGAAGGAAGCATGAAGTGCTCCAAAATCTCTTGGTAAATGGCTGCGTTGACCCTGGACTTAATGAAGCACAGTGGACCAACACCAGCAGATGACATGGCTCCCCAAATCAACACAGACTGTGGAAACTTCACACTGGACTTCAAGCATCTTGCAGTATGTGCCTCTCCATTCTTCCTCCATACTCTGGGTCCTTGGTTTCCAAATAAGATGCAAAAGTTGCTCTCATCAGAAAAGAGGACTTTGGACCACTGAGCAACAGACCAGGTCTGTTTTTCTTTAGCCCAGGTAAGACGCTTCTGACGTTGTTTGTTGTTCAGGAGCGGCTTGACAAAAGGAATACGACATTTGAAGCCCATGTCCAGGTTTTCGTCTGTGTGTGGTGGCTCTTGATGCACTGACTCCAGCCTCAGTCCACTCCTTGTGAAAGTCCCCAACACTTTTGAATGGCCTTTTCCTGACAATCCTCTCCAGGCTGCGGTCATCCCTGATGCTTGTGCACCTTTTTCTTCCACACTTTTCCCTTCCACATAACTTTCTATTAATGTGCTTTGATACAGCACTTTGGGAACATCCAACTTCTTTTGCAATTACCTTTTGAGGCTTTCCCTCCTTATGGAGGGTGTCAATGTTGGTTTTCTGCACAACTGTCAGGTCAGCAGTCTTCCCCATGATTGTGATTCCTACTGAACCAGACTGAGAGACCATTTAAAGGCTCAGGAACCCTTTGCATGTGTTATGGCTTAATTAGCTGATTAGAGTGGGACACTTTGAGCCTAGAATATTGCACCTTTTCACAATATTCTAATTTTCTGATATTGTGGATTTGGGGTTTTCATGAGCTGTAAGCCATAAT